TATGCTATTTTGAAGGTCTTTATGCATATTTTAAAAATATATAGGGAAAAATTGTGTATCAACACCAGCAACATCTTCTTGGGCTACAAAGACCTCCCCAACGACTTGAAACGTCTAGTCCCTCTTCTCCGTCCATTATTTCGTCTTCTGCCATTTTTTCTGGTGAAGCAGAGAGAGAGGTTGTAGTGACAAACTTTGTGTGAGTTTGATTTTTCCGGCTACGACAAGAACCAGAACTCGATGTGGTTTGAGAGGAAACAGTGGGTTGTTGTTGGTCTTAGTTGGGGTTTTCATTGGGTGACAGTTGATACTGAGGCTCATGCTGCATTGCTTCGTGAGACGAAGACGAAGTGGGAGTGGCAATGGTAACATTTGGAGACCCTGGATTCAGGGATGACATGGTGATTTTTGAGAGTAAAGACACATAGATAGTTTACCTATAACGGCATATAATTGAGTTAGAAATTACCAGAAAACACTTTTTAGCAGTTTACCTTTTCATTCCTTCATAACCAATCATTAAGGGACCTGGTGCGCAGTTCAATTTTATTAGTCACAACTCCAGTCGATTCTTTTCAAAGTGCTCTCTGCTCAATGATTTGGTGAAGATATTAGATGCCTGGTCCTCTGTTTTGCAAAACTTCATGCAGATGAGACCCTTTTCAACATTGTCTTTGAGAAACTGATGTTGCACATCAATGTGCTTTGTCCTCTTATGCTGAACCGTGTTCTTTGCCATGTTGAGAGCACTTGTGTTGTCACACAGTAATGGCACACAATCAGAGAACACACCAAAATCTTCCAGTTATTGCTTGATCTATAATAGTTGAGCACACCAGGAAGCAACTGCCACATATTCAGCTTCTGCAGTAGAAATAGCCATAGAGTTTTATTTCTTTGTACTCCATGAAATCAAGCATGATCCCAGAAAAGGTGCCATCCTAAATGTGCTCTTTCTATCCACCAAGTAGCCAGCATAATCAGCATCAGCATACCCAATTAAGTTGAAATTGTCTCCTGAGGGATAATAGAGGACCAGGTCCTGTGTTCCTTTGAGATACCTCAGAATTCTCTTAGCAACTTTCAGGTGAGATTCTATTGCACTTGATTGGTATCTAGCATATAATCTCACACTGAACACAATGTTAGGTTTGCTGGCTGTGAGATACCGGAGTGAACCAATGATACCCCGATACATGGTTTCATTCATAGGGAAGCCGGGTTCGTCCATGTCTATACAAGTGGCAATGAAAATAGGAGTATCAATGGTCTTTGAGCTTTCCATCTCAAACCTCTTCAGAAGCTCTTTAATGTATTTCTGCTGACTTATCACCGTTCCCTTAGAAGTTTGCTTAACTTGCAGACCTAGGAAGAAGTTCAGTTCCCCCATCATGCTCATCTCAAACTCGCTTCCCATAAGCTTGGAAAACTCCTCACATAAGGAATCATTTGTTGCACCAAAAATGATATCGTCAACATAAACTTGCACAATCAGCAGGTTCCTCCCTCTTTTCTTCAAAAAGAGAGTGTTGTTAATTTTTTCTCTCCTAAAGCCATTCCCCGAAAGGAACCTGGACAACCTTTCATACTATGCATGAGGGGCCTGATTTAAACCGTATATTGCCTTGTCGAGCTTGAAAACATGTTTAGGGTGCTCATGACAATCAAAACCAGGTGGTTGTTTGACAAATACTTCTTCCTTTAAATATCCATTCTGAAATGCACTCTTGACATCCATTTAGAACAATTTGAATTCTATATGAGATGCAAAGGCAATGAGAATTCTGATGGCTTCCATTCGTGCAGTTGGAGGAAAGGTCTCATAATAGTCAATACCTTCTTCTTGATTATTACCTTGAACCACCAACCTGGCTTTGTTCCTTGTTGTATTCCAAAAATCATCAAGCTTGTTTCTGAACACCCACGTGGTTCCAATAAAAGTTCTATCTAAAGGTTGAGGAACCAGGTGCCACACGTTGTTCCTCTCAAATTGATGGAGTTCATCTTGCATAGAGAGCAATCCAGTCAGCATCTTTCAGTGTTTCCTTGATATTTTTGGGCTCAATTTGAGACAGGTTGGCTGAGAAGGCAAACATTCTTCTTGACATTGATCTGTTTTGAATCCCTGAATCAAGAGGAGCGATCACATTCCGGAGAGGATGTGAGCTTTTGTGCTTCCAGTTGGACACCTGAATCACATTATGAGAAGACCCAAGTTTCTTTAAATAGGATCCATCGTTAGCATCCATGGAAGAGTCAATGCCACTCTTCCACTAAGCATCAGGAGTTCCTTGCACGACGTCATCAACTCTGTTTTCTGCTTCAATTGTTGTAATGGAGGAACCATTTTCCTCTGAATTAGTTGGAGGTTCTTCTACATCTTCTTCATTAGATTCTTTGACCTGACTCATCAGATCTACCTTCCCATTTGCCATATCAATTACTTCTCCAGGAACCTTTGATTGCTCTCCGTCTTGATCATTCTTATCATGTGAATCTTTCCCACTTAAGTGGTGTGATTCATCAAAGATTACATGTACGCTTTCTTCAACATATTGAGTAATTTTGTTGTAGACCTTGTATGTTTTGCTTTGTGTAGAATATCCAAGAAAGATCTCTTCATCACCTAGGGCATAAAATTTTCCCATCGCTTCCTTACCATTATTGAGAACGAAACATTTGCAACCAAATGTTCTTAGGTAAGTCAGCTTGGGTTTCCTCCCGTTCAGAAATTCATACGGGGTCTTGTTTAAGAGGGACCTGATCATGCACTTGTTTATCAAATAGTAGATAGTGTTCACTGCCTTAGCCCAAAAGCTTTTTGGTACACCACTGTCAAATAGCATCGTCCTTGCCATGTCTTCAAGAGTCCTATTTTTCCTCTCCACAACCCCATTTTGTTGGGGTGTTCAGGGAGCTAAAAAATTATGACATATACCATTTTCAGCGCAAAATTCGTCAAATTTTGCATTATCGAAAACTGTACCATGATCAGATCTTATGCTTACAACATTATGGCTCATTTTAACTTGAATATGCTTCACAAAGGCAACAAAGATTGGAAAAGTTTCATCCTTGGTTCTGAGGAACAAGGTCCATGTGAATCTGGAGTAGTAGGCACTCTCTACTAGGCACTCTCACAGGTCCACACAAATCCATTTGAAGAAGATCCAGTGGACTTGTGGTGCTTACTTCCCTTTTTTGGCTTGAAGGAGGACCTAACTTGCTTTCCTTTTACACATGCATCACACACTCTGTGATCCTTGAACCTTGACTTTGGCAGCCCACGGACCAGGTCCTTCTTAACTAGCTTGTTCAGCAAGGAGAAGCTTGCATGTCCCAATCTTCTGTGCCACAGTTCAACATCATCATCAATAGCACTCAAACATGTAAGATCCCCCACTGTTTAAGGACTCAAAGTCAGCGACGTAGATGTTTTTGAATCTCTTTTCCATCAAAACCACTTCACCAGTCACAACATTTGTGGTTGTTCAAGTCTTTGATAAGAACTCCACTTTATTTCCTTTGTCGCAGATTTGAGAGACACTCAGCGGGCTGTATTTCAAACCATTCACATAATACACATTCTCAATTGAGTGAGTAAGTGTCTTCCCAACTCTTCCAACTCCCAGGATGTATCCGTTTTTACCGTTGCCAAAGGACACACTCCTACCTTTCAGGGCTTTGAGTGAACGGAAATTATCAGTACTTCCAGTCATATGTTTAGAGTAGCTGCTATCTATATTCCATCTTTGGTTGCTTCCATTCACTGCTCCCTGAACAAGAAACTTAGAGATTAGACTTAGGAATTCAAACAAGTTTAGGTCCCTTGTAGTGAGAAAAAGGGTGAATTAAACTTCTTCTTGTCCAAGAAGTAATCACACGTTTTTTATTGTAGGAACCAGGTTCGTTAGCAGTAGGTACTTTTTCAACAAAAACTTTATTTTTCTGTTGGGACTGAAATCTAGCTTTACAGGAGTCTTCAAAATGCCTAGTGTTACGACAAAGAGTACAAAGTCAGTTATCAAGGACAGTAACATACTTGCTATGTGGGTTGCACAAAGCCTTTTCCTTTATACATGAAAGTGATTGTATCAGAGGACCAAGTCCACTTTAGAGATTTATCTAGGACATTTTAACCCTGCTTAGATCTTTCTGAAGTTGTCTATTTCTTTCAAATTCAGCACACATACTCAATTTTATCATTTTGAGCTCATTTTCAAATTTAAGGTGGGCCTCGCTCGCCACTTCCTTACCTTTTGAAGCATTTCTAGAACTATTTTCCCTCTTTAGTTCTTCTACTATTTCCTTATCCATAAATACTACCAACAAGTCATCTCTCTCATGCTGTACCTTTTTAATTTTCTCAGTTAGAGAATCCTTTTATTCTTTAAATCCTCATTGGTTTCTTTTAAATCAACAACTACGACTAGCAAATCATCTCTCTCACGTTCTACCTCTCCTAATTCCAAAGTTAAAACCTTTCATCATTGATAAGGTTATGATAAGCGTCAATCAGAACATTTGCTAAGGATACAAGTTTCTTTTGGAGAGTAAGACTTCAAATTTCTTTGAACGTCTAGAAATTTTACCTCATCATCATTATCATCTTCATCCTCGTCAGACTATGCCATCAGGGAAAAGATCGAGTCATATTCATCTGCTTCTCTTTCAACGGCCATCATGGAGGTGTCGACTTGTTCATTATCTCCCTCAGATTCATTAGAGGAATCTCCCAACGCAGCAAGAGCTTATTTCACAACATTGTCAGCGGCATTTTTTCTCTTGAATTTCCTGTTGGAAACCCGGTTCCTCTCGGCTGTTTTATCTGTGTTGTGCTTGTACGGGTCTTGCTTGTAGAGAGGAAAATCTTTGATGAAATATCCTGACTTCCCGCATTTGTGACATCAATCATAGCCATTTTGTCTGCTAAAACTGCCACTTTCTGGAATACCTCCATTTCTGTGAACCATTTTCTGAAACCTCCTTGTCAAATAGGCCATGTTAGCATCATCACCACTTGAGTCACTGTTGTCTGCCTTGGGAACCAGGTTCTTCTCCATTATGGGTTCTCTTTTTTTATGGTCCTTATTTTTCTTAATTTCGTAGGTCTTCAGATTTTCAATGAGTTCGTCAATGATCAGCTCTTGCTTTCCTCCGTGATAGTATTAACTTTACTCTCACAAGAACCAGGTAATACACTGAGTATTTTCTTGACCAGTTTGTTCCTTGAATGGTCTCTCCTAGAGAATGGAGCCCATTGATGATGGAAGTGAAACGAGTATGCATGTCCTGAATGGACTCATCATCCTTCATCCTGAAGACTTCACATTCAGCAGTGAGCATCTCAATCTTTGACTGCTTGACTTGAGTTGTTCCTTTATGTGCGATTTGGAGAGCCTCTCAGATCTCCTTGGCAGTTTGACAAGCTGAAATTCTATTATACTCGTCTGGTCCAATACTGCAGATGAGGATCTTCTTTGCATAGAAGTTTTTCTCTATAGCTTTGTGGTCGACACCGTTGTACTCCTTCCTTGTATTTGGAACTGTCACTGTTGTCTCGCCAATGATCCTCATGGGGACAAAGGGTCCATCACAAATGATATCCCAAAGCTCCGAATCTTCAGCCATGATAAGATCATGCATCATTGTCTTCCACCATCTGTAGTATTGTCCATTGAATCTTGGTGGTATATAGGTTGATTGACCTTCTTCAAAGTTTGGTGGAGCAGCCATGTGGATCCTTTCTAGGTGTTAGCCTTATAGAAAGAACCTGCTCTGATACCAATTGATGTAAACTAAGAGTCCACCAAACTGTATAGAGAACATGGTTCTCTATCAGTTCCCACAGAGCACACACACATAGCAATAAGTAAATGACACAACAGTATTTTACGTGGAAACTCCCAGCTCATAGGATGAAAAACCACGACCTACACTCGTAGGATTTTAACTTCACTAACCGAGCAAACTTTAGATTACAACCTATTGTAACCTAGGAATTAAACTCTTAATCCCTCACCTACTTGAAATAACTCTATTGCAAGTCTCTTTGTAATAACTCTATTACAAAGCTCACCACTTTAACTAACTCTACACAAAACACAGACATACGGATTATGGTTTTAAGAAGATATCCTACAAGATGCCTCTAACTAAGCTGAGTAGGAATTACAAGTGAATAACATTAACAAAGATACAACAATACTAAGGACACACGATTAACTCAGTTCTGGGATCTGGTCCTTTTTTTGTTGCTACTTTGTTCTTCAAGCCTTGGAGTCAATGAAGGCGGCAACACACTTTGAGAGAGACTTAATAATTTAGGGTTTTCAAGTGTATGGTTTCCCTTGGCTCATGTTGCTAACATATAAGTGAGGTCATTGGGATGATGTAAGCAAGTATCCGGTACAAAGCATGCCCCATAAAGTGACTGCTGCATTGTTGTGTGTGCAGTGCAACAACGTAGCGACTTTAACAACTGTAAGGAATTGACTTGTACTATGGCCGGAGGAACTGATAGCCATATGTTCCTTCTGCCGTTTCTTTGACTGATAATATTGGAACTTGTGCCAGACATGTGACTTGTTTTACTGAGAACTTTGAGGCTATGTAACAGGTTCCCTATCTGGTTATCATATGAAGTTTGTTAAATCATCAAAAGCATGCCCCATAAAGTGACTGCTGCATTGTTGTGTGTGCAGTGCAACAACGTAGCGACTTTAACAACTGTAAGGAATTTACTTGTACTATAGCCGGAGGAACTGATAGCCATATGTTCCTTATGCCGTTTCTTTGACTGATAATATTGGAACTTGTGCCAGACATGTGACTTGTTTTACTGAGAACTTTGAGGCTATGTAACAGGTTCCCTATCTGGTTCTCATATGAAGTTTGTTAAATCATCAAAATACAAAGGCACATAACTTATTAGGGTGTTACATAGAAAAACATGTCTTTCTGTCTTTTAATTTACAGAATAATAGAAATAAAAGGTAATAAGTGTCTACCCGGAAAAGGGGCAAAGAAAATAAGTAAAAGAGACTAGATTATTAAAAAGAATGCAGTTACCACTATATTTAAGGGGTTATTCCAGGTAAATGTTTGACAATTTAATGCAAGTCGAGTGAGGTACCATTATTTATACTTAATCTAAACTTTGACGCTCTATATGTGGTGATTTTGACACTGTTTTTTTAACATAAGCAACTTACGTTAAACTATTTCTTGAGTCCTTATAATTAAAGGTTAATAATAGGTAGAATACCTAGCTATTAATATAAATTAAATCCCTTTTGTTCAAAGTAGAAATTTACAACTCTAAAAAGCTAGCTAGCCTAGTGCGAAATACCCTTCTAAACATCTAATCGAAGTGACTAATATCATTCTGGCTCCACACTTGATAAAATATGAGTTTTTGTCCAAAGCACATTTTCTTTCTAGATTACTCATGGATCGTATTTACAGAGAACTTCTTGTGACAATATGCTTCTTTTTAATGAATATTGACTTTGAAAATTGCTCTAAATTATTGACGACATAGTACGAGATATTCTGATTTTGTTCATACTTTCAAATGAAAGATGCCCCTACTTTTCAATCCGAAAGCAAATGTGTTCATTTAAAGAATTTCCATAGTCTTCCACTAGCTCCATATTATTAAATTATATATTGTTCCAAAAAATTGCGTAGTCTTCAACTAGCTCCGTATTATTAAATTACAAAAAGAAAAAGAAAGAAAAACCCCCGTCAATTTTATTCTACATCAACTTTTATTTAGACGACTAAGTAGTAATAGAGTGAGAAGGTCTATCTTCTCACTACTTTCTTCAACTACACTCTCATAGTAGCAATGGACAATTTCCCACTTTCCAACCATCAAATCTTTCAAATCCCTCCTAAACCTCCCGATATACTTCATGAACATGACGTTATTAATCTACCTACATCAACACCATATAGGGATAATCAGCGGGCTGATGTAGGAAATAATTCCTCAACATCTATACTAGCAAAAGTACCCCAACACCATAACTCATCATATAAGGAAATCCTCCTTTTGGACTCTATCAATATGCAGGTTTCTCAACCGCCCCTACAACAACTTACTACTCAAGACAACCCTATGCAATTAGACTACCATTTTCAAGACTTGCCTAGCCAAAAAATATCCTCCCAAGAAATCCAAGATCTTAATGATAACCTACAAGTCTCCCTCACAGTAGGCGACCTCCAAAGAATTTATCAACTATGGAGGTATTCTCTCATTATTAAACTTATGGGAAAACATCCTGCACCAATACCTAAAAAGGAAACTATATCAGTTGTGAAAACCAAATGAAAACTTCACTCTCATGGACCTAGGGACTGATTACTTCATAGTAAAACTCAACAAGGAGGAGAACATGTCCAGAGCCCTCAACAATGGACCATGGTTTATCAATGGTTACCATCTATCAGTTCAAAAAAGGGAGCCACAATTTGTAGCCAGTGAGGCAAAACAATTAAAATCAGCAGTTTGGGTTCGCCTACCCCAACTCCCTACTGAATTTTATGATTCTACCACCCTACACAAAATAGGTAATACCATAGGGCGATTACTAAGGATCGATGCTTGCACTTCCTCTACTCTAAGAGGTAGGTATGCTCGACTATGTGTTGAAGTATCCATGGAAAAGCCAGTTAAGTCTTTTGTTTACATTGAGAATTATAAACAACATATACATTATGAGGGTGAAAATTTTTTATGCACCAATTGTGGGAAATTAGGCCATAGCCAATCAAAATGTTCAATGCCTCTACCACCCCCCAAAATCAGTGAGCAACAAGGAGGCCTAGCAGATAGCCCTAAACAAGACTCCCAAAATGATTGGGTGACTGTCACTTTTAGCAAGAAAAAGAAGTCTTCTGGAGTGAAGCAAATCCAAACTGCTAAGGTAACCAATCCAGGTACACGTCCAAAATTCAATGGCACGGACACAGGTATGTCTTCTAATTCCCAAAATTTTAATTTTCATAGATTTAAAAACATGGGAATCAACCTATCAAATATCCCAGCTACTGACTCAAAAGTTAGACAATACACGGACAATATCATCTCCTCCAATGTTGGCCAAAATTCTAATAATATTTTTGAGGTTCTCGACAGTAAGGAGCCCATGGTTTTCGAAAATGGTTTAGGAAAAAATCTGCCCATAATCCATAATGATCAATGCATGCAAAATAGAAAGGACAAACTCATACATGTGTCCAACACCAATGGCACCTTGGAACCACCACCCCAATCATTAGATGAAGCTTTCACTAAAAACAAATATAATAATTACCTGGCTACCCCTAAACTAATACTAACCCTAATTCGGTTATTACCACTACCCCTAACTCAACAACATTACACATGGACATGCATGCAAGAGAAGATGTCCAAATGGCAGACCACTCAGAGCACTTGGCAACAACAAAATCCTCCAAAAATCTTATATATCCTCACACGCCAAACCAATTACCATCCATGCAGCCAAAGAACTCTATAGAAATCAAGAACTCTAGTAAAGCTACAACTCCTATTACCAGTACTAACCAAATATATACCCCACAAGAAGAGAATGCCAAGACTCCCACTCACAGCCAGGAGAAGATTTCGGCTAGTTTACATACCAAACCAACGAATTCCTCCGATGGCCAACCCTCCACAAATACCACCACAGTTACAAAATCAACCACTATTCTTCACATCCCCCCTCAATCCCAGAATTACCAACCAACCTCTTGGCTAGAAGCAGGCCACATAGGCCATGCAATAACCTTCAATATCCAAATCAATGGCCAAGAGATGGTAATAATAATCCAGAATACTCGATACCTAGCCCAACTAATATCGGAGGGGATGCACTTAGCAACAAACAACTACACAAATCAGGCATGGATCAACAATATCCTTCACCCTCTAGCCCCACACATGAATCACACCCTAATCCAGGAAATGCAGGAGCAGTGGAACTTCCCACAAACACCCAACCAGTTCATCAATCTCCCAATGACTCTACCCTTCTTCCCATCGGAG